CTCTCTCTCTCTCTCTCTCTCTCTCTCTCTCTCTCTCTCTCTCTCTCTCTCTGTCTCTTAGTCTGCCCTTCTCTTTTATTTCCCTCTACCTATCTCTAACTCTCTTTCTTCTTTCTTTATAGCAATCTTCCAAATAAAGTTGTCTAAGGTGTAGTTTTTGTATATACCCATTTACTACTATATACATACATACATCTATGAATATATAGATTGTTATATGCTCATAACATATACATATTTCATCAATATTATTGATTAGTAATCTGGTTTATTTCAATTTTAGCGAGCCCCACCTTTTGCTCATACATACATATGTAAATATATAGTATAAGAATGTTGGGAGAGTCGCGCGCGATAGCTCTGATCGCAGATAATCCGCCCTATAGAAATCACAATAAACTAACATTGCGCTGTCGCTCTGCCGTCCTCGTTTCCTTACGGGCTACGTCTGCAACGTACCTCAGCACACATCCTCGTTATGCCACCTATTTCTGCTTATTTCTCTTAAAAGGCGCTCTCTCAATCTATGTACTTGCTCATCGCAGGTAGAGAGCGCTCAGCGCTGATCGAGCAGACGTTTTGCAGCGCCCGCTTGCTCCACTTCGTTGTGGCGCTCTGAGCGCCTCGTCGTTTTTATTCGCGTCACTGCCGATGCGGCGAGAGTTGCGATTCGCGACGTCGCTGCCGATGAGCGCTGAGCTTTTGTACAAAACAGGCCGTCGTTTGGGTAAACCAGTTAGTCGGCCGACAGAGTAGCACGCGTGAACAAGTGAATGACGCTTCGTGTGAGCTGAATATCAATTGAAGTTCAAACGGCTTTTTATTTCACAAAATACTTCGCACAGCGGGCACAAGAGTGAACTCACGCAAAAAATAAAATATAATTTAACAGAGCCGAAGCAGAAGCGAAGCCGAAGGCGTAGTGAAGTGCAGTGCGAGAAGCGCAGTAGATAAACGCAAATGCAGTGTGCTAATGTAATAGAGAACACAGCAAAATACATGCAAGAATAAAACATATTAGCAAAATAAAATATGCAAATCTGTTGAGCATAGCGCTGAACAGAGTTACTTAAAGCGGGAGAGACAGAGCTCACAAGTGTTGTGCGACGGACAGCTACATAGAACCCAAACCAAATGACTATGACTTCCACAGTGCTGCAGCGCCCCACAGCAACAACAGCAACGACGACAGTGGAAAAGCAAGCTGCAAAAGCAACAGCAACAACAGCAAGAAGAACGCGCTCCACCATGGCCTGGTCGCATGAGAAATTGCGTTTCTCATGCATCGACAACATTGGCCTGAAGCAGTTATGGAAACTGATTGCATTGGATACGGCAACGCCGCCTGCCGAAAAGTCTGGCAATGCAGAGCACCAGCAGCCTAAAGCAACCAGCAACTGCAACAATAACAGCAACACTGAGGTAAGTAACCAAAAAGAAAGCTAACAAGGGAGCAAAACAAAAGCAAAAATCGAACAAAAAATAACAGTTGAGCATTAAGACAGTTTATGACGTCAATTGGGCAGGGGCGATACACGGATGTAGAAAGCGACGCAGGCAGAGAAAGTGACCCAAAGACGCAGCAAAACCCACAAACCACCCCAGCCCTCCCCTCGCGCACATGTCACATGACTAAGCCCATTCATTCCGTACAATATCTGGCATTATCTTTAGCACTTGTTGAAACAACTGTTCGGATTTCCTCCCAGTAGCTATGCGGCGTGCAAACAAGCACTGAAATTCCAGTAACCCACGTAACGTCAATTTGCATATGCCAAGAAAAAACAGAAAAAAAAGAAAAGCGAAACGAAACGAAAAAGCCAAGCGCTAATTAAGACAACCAAGCTCCGGTCTTGCAGTAAGCTACAGTAAACGCTCGACAATTAGAAAAGGGAAGAAGAAATACAATCAAAAATAATTGCAAATGAGAAATTTTGTACCTCTGTCAACTTATTTGAATTATGTTGTATTTAGCGAATATTGACTGTAGTCTTGTTATGCCACCATGGACTCTCGTGTAGTCACATGTCTCTTGGCGACAACAAATCAATTCATTTTATTGAAAACAATTGAAAGGCTTTTATTCAACGCTGTTCCTCTCGGCCCTTTTCAGCTCTTTCAATATTTCTCTGTTTCGCTCTCTTCATATATGTATATATATATATATACATATGTATGTATATTTAATAAATTTGTCAAGTGTTTCAAACATCTTTCATAACAATTTTGACAGCTGCCATTTAATCAACAGCAAACAAATCGTTGCAACATATAACTTAGTGTTTCGCTGTCAAGTATTTCGCTCAGTGTACATTGCGCACTTGAATAATTTGTACAGAAGATTTAACTGTCAAGTGCAGCAGCCCACGCTGTCAGCAGCTGCTAAATTATTATCAGCTCCAGACTTTATACTTTATAAAAAATGTTATTATTAAAATTTTATATGTACAAATTTTTTGGCTTCGATCAAGGCTCGTGATAAGTGTTTTTTCTGTCTTCTTTTGAATAGCTTCGAGCTTGTCTTGTTCTCTACGAAGGCTGTCTGTCCGGCCGCAGTAATATATAGAGTAAAGTTCAGGGCGAAACTTTGTATTTGATTTTGTCTTAGACGCCAATGCAATGCCGTAACTAAGGAATTACCCTTCTCCTTTCTTTGATGACGTGTTATTTAGTCACAGCTCGGCTTAGTGTCATTTTTTGGAACTTCATTGTGAGTCATTAGTAAATTATTCATTTGTACTTCAAAAGAAAAGAAATTAATCATAGTGAGTAAAAGCCAAAGTTGATTTTTATTAGCCCATTAGGACTTAAATTTCAGGCGAATTCATATTTAAGCAAAGCAGGTCTTCCATTTCCAGCTGCTTCCATGCGATTTACATATTCCTGTATACATTTTGAATAGCTCTCAGCAATTAAGGCGAGATAACTGTTAAATTTTAACAGCTGCCTTCTGATATATGTATATGATGTATTTTATATGTATGTGCTGAGAGAGGTTTATTATACTGGTCAGAAGTCGCAGGCAGTCGCTGGCCCTGGTCTCCTCGTTTACTATAACGTCACTACATTGCGTTATGTTTTATAACCCAAAACTGGTTTCCTATGTATTTATACTATATATTAAATATATATATATAATCCCTAAGTCCCTCCACGCACACCCCTCCATGGCTCGCAGTGCATTGACGTCAATGCAAATCGATTGACTTGTGAATTCTGCCTGGCTTTTGCCTATCCTCCCCTCTCCCTCGTTCTATGCAGACACGCCGTCTTCGAGGGCTACGACATCCCAGTTTACTGAATGTCAGGGTTGTGTTCCACTAATAAGCACAAAAGGAGGCTATAACTGACTCACCTACACCTAAAGGCCTCCAAAGCCGGATCAACCGAAAGGAAAACTAGTTTTCAGTTCGAAAATTGGAACCTGTTGCCTCTTGGCCGAAGAGTCAAGTGCGAAGCGCACCTCCCCGCTGTCTAAAATATTGAGCTTATGACGAAAAAGAAGAGAAAATAAAATCGAAGTTTTATTTTCAAAAAGTGATGGACTGACACATACCCAGTCTAAGGCTATGTCACTCTTGCAGTTCGATACATGTATGTATCTTATATTTAAATATGAAATATGTATGTATATGTATGACTTTTTATTTTTCATATACATAATTCATGTATACAAATCGAGGAATACTGTTTGATAGAATACTTCATGCAACCATTTTTCGATTTGCTACAGGGCATATAAATAACTAAAAGTCTAAGCTTAAAGTTTCAATTTCACAAATTCGGGCAGCTTGAATTTGTTTAATTTACAGCTCAGTTGGCTTTGACGTCACGCGCATAAATTAGCTCGTCGAAACATTTTGTTTAATTTTTTGTTAACCTTTTTTTTGTTTTCAGTCTCTTTTTGAGTTAGCACGTTTGAAAAAACAATAATCTTAAGTAGTCATAAATAAACACTAGTAAAATGTCAGCTTAGTTAAATATCGTCTAAATATAAATGAAAATCGGACGCGTTTTCAAACGCGTATAAGTCGCGCGCGAGTCGCGTTGCAGTCGAGCGCAACGGAAAACAGCTTGGGAGCAAAATAATTGAAAATGCTGTAATTTTTGTTTACAATTGTGCTTTTAGCTTTTACTATATTGTGCATTATTACGCATTTGTGTGCGAATGCCAGGTCTAATTAACGTTGCGGTCGTCTGCTCAATTCATATTAAAAACAAGTTTCTATTTATTAACCGCAAAAGAAATAATTGTTATAGAAAAAAACATATAATCTATTAAAAATGAGGTGAACATTAGCTGACCCAGGACTTGCGTTAATTTCTTAGTTCTTGATTTAATTCGAAATTGGAACCAACTCCCCGCATTAAGTACGTGCAAAAATGCAAAAATTACAGCAAATTGCATTTTAGGCTACATGTAGCTACGCTTGTTCCAGTTGTCAATGAAAATTATTAAAATAATAATAAAAATATAAAAATGGAACGAAACAGCAGCTGTGTGACGTCCACATACTCGTTGCCGTAATTAAATGTTGTCAACTACTACGATCTCTCTCACTCTAATTGCCCCATGTCAGCTCTTTCTGTTGCATGTGGCTCGCTTTTAATATTCATAGAGGTCAGCTCTGTCCGGTACACGCCTCGATTTCTAGGTGCCTCGAATATTGGTTAATCGCATGCGATACTAATCGCAAAACAATATTGAAATTTAATCTAAATAAAATACAAGCGTTTAATCGGTTCATTCTGGGATGATCATGGCTTCGTTTGAGTAGCTACTCATTGTATTTTATGTCATTGTGGCCGAAGTGAGTCCAGCTTCTCTTGACAGTTAACAGCTACATTCCATTTTAGCATATCAGATCAAAAAATAGTGTTATATTCAAATGAAACTAACAGGTCTTAAGATTTGATATGCCATCGCAGCCAAATTCACAAGTATCAGCTTAACAGACTCGATTGCAGCCATCTTAACGACCTGACTTTTGTTTGCTGAAGAGTTCGTGCATTAAATCTATTTGACTTGAATGTCAACTTAATGCAATTAAAAAGTAAGCATGTTATTGTTTCAAAGTGGAAATCCCATCTAAATGCTCGCCACATATTTGCAAATAGCGCTTATCAATATTTTGCACCACTGTGCAAAACCGAGCTATCTAAAGCCAAGCAATATCTTTATAGCAACGTATAATACCCACCAGGTCCATATATATATATATATATATGCTGCTATCGCAGCAACTGATATATATATATATATATATATATATATATATATATATATATATATATAT